CAGACATCAAGGCTGTGCTGCTGGGGATGTAGCAAAGGGAGAGATGCCTTTTTTCACCCTCCTCTGCTTCTTTGGTGGCCACCATGCTCCTTCCTCAACCAAGGCTTGCCAGCAAAACACTCTGCAGCAGAGTAGTACCTGTCATGACAAAGTCTCTTGAACTAATGCACTAGCTGGATGGAAAAGAGCGGGCTTGGAGATGCGCCCCTCCAAGAGCTTCTGGCACAAAGAGTCTTCACTGAGCAGCAATTATTACATTGTCTCTATAAATATTTTAACTTCTCAAGCAAAGCAAGGAGGAAATAACTCTTCAGGGTGGAAATAATAAGACCAAACCTCATTAAATCTCCCTAGGACAGACTGACAAATGCTTTAATAAGACAATGGGAAGGATTCCTTTGGAGCTGGTCTTCTTAATGACTTGTTTTTGCAATGCCAAATAGGGCATTTGCTAGAGGAGAGCCCGAGGGATTGCTGAGAAGCCTCTGAGCACACATGTTTCAGACCCAGCGCCTGAAAGCAAATGTCACAACTGGATTGGCAAATGGCCAGAGTTAGTCATGTGGGAGGGGAAAAGCCCCCAAATAGTGTTGTTTTAACTTCAGAACTATTGGATTTAGTGGCCTGCCAAAAAGCGTCAAATCTTCATGGACACCCCAACATTCCTCTTCATTGGCTGGTGTAGCTTTGTACCCAACATCCATCCATCCATCCAGTGAATCCTGATGTAGGGAATTAAGGGGATTTAGATGAACATGGGAATCACCTGTATGATTTTCCCTAAAGCTGAACCAAGTTTATAGTCTGTAGTCGGGTAATAAAATCCCAACATTTAATTACGCAAACTCTTGCAGCCTTATAATCTAGCACCTGGAGCCAGTCTGTGTGATCAGACAGCGCTTGGCGTAGCTGGCACCTTCATAAATATAATTTTCCAAAAGGAGCAGGCTCCCATGCCAGGGATAATGATCTGTTCACACGAGGCATGGGAAGGGTTGATCATGAAACTGTTTGATGACATTCACGGGAGACAGGCTACAGAGTCTTGGAGAGCAGCAGAAAAAGTGGAGGTAAGTAGCAGCACATTACCGGATTTATTTGATGTATGGATTGAAATGGAAAAGAGTGATGCACTCTTTGCACCTCTGGGAGGGAAACTGGGATAAACAGCACGGAGCAGGTGTGAAATCAGTCGATGGGCTTGGAACATCCGTGGCGGGGTCTGGTACGTCTTTGGATGACTATCAGAGAAGACGACAAGGCAGCGGTGCTGCAGACCTTGCTGGGAAGCGACATTGACAGGGAATTACTGTGTCTTTGCAGTACAGCAGTGCTTGGAGCAGCAGTGGGGGTCTCAGGGCACGGGGTCCTGGGTGCAGCCCCCAGCTCCGACCAGCCCCGCGCTTGCATCCAACCACTGTGATCAGCAGGGGAAGCCATGTCCCAGAAAACTCACACTCTTCGTTAAAAGAACAATCCAATCAGCCACACAGCTCCGTGTTTAGCGGCAGCAGCTCCCAGAGGCCTGCAGGTCTGTGCTAAACCCACGAGGAGGGACACAGCCCCCAGCCGAAGGGAACAGCCGCCCTCTGCCAAGGCAGCAATCAGATCCCCAGCACCAGCAATCAGAGCAGGGCCGGGTGCGAGAGTTAATCAAAACCTACCTGTAATTATAGCAGAGCCTGTTTGCGTGCCTGATTAATACATTTACATCTTCATTATGGGCAGGCTGCTGGTTGCAGGCAGGGGCATGAGCAGGGGGAGCAGCCACGGAGGGGGGGAACCGCAAAAGAAATTGTTTCAGATCCCAAATGCAATGATATGTCTTTTCCAAGATGATTTATTAATTTAATACACCCTCCTTAGCCAGAGTGTGGATAGTGGAAGATGTATTAAATGATAAAATAATTGCCTGGGTAAAGGGGTGGATTTGGCCCAGTGTGGGGCTCTTTTCTGGCAGAGGAAGATGAAGGGTGAGGTACCTACACAGTGAATTTAATACACTGTCTATACAGATTTGTTCAGTTGTGATGTGTATGTCTGTGCATATATGAATAACATGGTGCTTGGAAAGAATACACACACATATATAGTGTATATTACATGTTCTGAGCGAGTTGTAAGTACTTTTCTAGGGAGAACAGAGATTTTCCAGATATCCAGGAATATTTGTGACTGCATTCAAATATTTTTTTCCCAATCCAAATGCTCAACAAATGTTTTCACATCACTGCCTTGGCTCTACTGCTGTTTATTTGCCTCGTGGCGGTGCCTGTGCCTCCCACGGAGGGGGCCCGGTGCAGTGCCCCACCAGCTGCCACATCTGTGGTCCCAGGCTGCCTGTTCATCACGCTCCCTGCCTGCACGGGCCGAGGGAAAACTGGTCAGGACTTCTCAGGAGATGTCCGAGCTTGGCATGGTGGCACCAGCATCCTGGGCCAAAAAGCCCAGCAGCAACCCCCTCCGTAGCGGGCAAGGAAGCACAGCCAGCCCTGAGAGACTGTGTGGTCTCGTGGCACGGCACCTGATTCTCTGCTCCCTGCTAAAATAAGGCAAAATCCCAAAGGGGAGAGCGAGGGAGACATTAATCTTCAGTGCCACGCCAGCTGCGCTGGGTTTTGGGGCATTATGAATCTCACCGTTAACAACCCGCAGGTGAGTGGGTTTTTTTCTAAGCCGCCTGACCTTGTTTTCAAACATTGCCAGGCCGTGGAGGAAGGAGATAACACAGAGGTGATCACTCGGTGTTAAGGGTTGTGTTTCTGAGGCTTTGATGATACCTGACCAGGGAGATCCCCCCACTCTTCTGACCGGTCTTCTGACGCGTCTCCCTGTATCCTGCATCGATGCCGGCTTTCCTCCCTCTGACCCGGGTGTCAGATAATGGAGCTCACTGGGCCGCGCTGGGGACCACTGGGGCTGCGGAGGGGAGCATGGTCCTGCTCGGAGAAAAGCTCAGAAGGTGCCAGGGTCCCGTGTGCGCTGCTGAGCGCATCCCCCAAACCCAAGGAGCATCCCGGCGCGTGGTCCTCACGCAGATCTGCCGCAGCTCATGGGAGGCCCGAGCCGGTCCCGTCTCTGTTTGATCCGTGTCCTGGAATGGGCTGTGCTGGGGAAAGAGCAGCAGAGCGTGCCGATCCCTGCCCCCCCGGCCCCCCCGCGGTGCCCCAGCAGGCAGCTGCAGGAGATCAGGAATACAGCACACTGCGTGGCAGCTTGCTCCTGCAGCCCCGTCCGGCGATGCCGTGCGCATCCCCCCAGAAACACCACGGCTGTGATGGGGAGGGGAGCAAGATTTTTTGTGTTAGAGAGGAGTCATTAACCGCCATGCTAGTTGGATGCTCAAGAAGGTGTCGAGAAACTCATGCTCCCCTACCAAATCAGGGGTGAGAAATCAGCCCTGCAACCACTTTTCCCAGAAGTGTTTTTCTTCAGCTCATTCTTCTTTTATGATTTAAAACAGGAGATAAAGGCCCTCCAGGTTCTTGTGAAGCTGATCTGGTTACCATGGAAATAACCCTCGTTAATCGCTTCACCATAAAACAAGAACAATTTGCTTTGGGGAGCTGGGGGTACTGATGTGCTGCTGTGTGCTCAGATAACTGGTGTTGCTGGGACCACTCCGGTCTCACCCCTGAGTTTGGTCATTGCCAGCAGCAGGCAGGGAGCGGGGACCGTCCGTCCCCATCTCATGGCACCGGAAAGTCGTGAGTCCTGAAGCAGTCCCGTGCACGCAGGGACAGACTGCCTGGGTCCCAGCAGTCACTGGTGGGTTGGAAGGAGTCTGGGAAAAAAAGTGCTGCTAGTGACTTTGGGCTTAGAGGAGGCTTTTTTTTTTCACCACAAGTTTTTTTAGCTCTCATATTGAGTCATTAGCTTCAGCCTGACCTGGTGTGGCCAGTGGCCTGGCTGGGCTGGTCTTGGTCTGGGATCAGACCAGTTGGGCTGGCGTTGGACTGGTTGGAGTGGTGTTGGGCTTATGTTGGACTGGTTGGGCCAGTGTTGGTCCAGTTGGACCAGTGTCAGTCCGGTTGTGCCAGTGTCTCGCCTCTGGTGGTGACTGGCAGGAGGAGGAGGAGCAGGACAGTGCCGTGGGCAAGGCTGTGCTGGGGAAGGGGTCCTGGGTGCTTTAAGCAGATCAGTGGTGCTGTTAAAACATTCTATTAAGTGTTTTATGTCTTGGAAGGGTTTGGATTACCCCGGGAGCTCCTGTCACTTGAACAGCTCATCCTCCTCCATCGAAGCTCCCTGGGAGCAACCTGCCTCCTGCTGAAGGCATTCCTGCTCCACGGGCTGTCTCCATCCTGCCTCTGGCCCCAAACAGCCAGAGCTTTCCTTTTCTCCCTCTTCAGAAAAAAACCCAAAACCCTCCAACACCAAAATAAGCTGAGGCTCCTCTCTCACAGCATGGGAGCAGAGGGAGGCTGGGTGGGGACTGCCAGAAATTTCTGCTGCTGGCTTGGAGGCACCTTCAGCTAGCGGATCCCCAGTGAGAGCCACGTTCATCATCCCAAACCCCTTTTACTTTAGCACTGGGTTGACCATACTGTTGTGGACGGAGGCACCAGATAATATTCTGAAGCTCTCGTAGTAGGGATCTCCAAAACACAAGAGGGGCCACTTTTTGTACCTGCTACTGCTGTCTCTCGCCCTGCAAGGCAATAGTAAAGCAATTTAAGATCACAGGAAAGAGAGCAACTATAGATAAAAAAGCAATGCTGATGTGCCTCACTGCCCACACTCCCTCCCATCACAGCCCCTGTAAGTCTGTCCCAGCGGTGGTGGATGCTGGAGGGGCTATATGCAGGCCAACCCACGGATGCTGGGGAGCGACAGGCTTCCTGGGTGGTGGGACAGCGTGTGCTCATTCCTCCAGTTGCCCTTACGGTCGGGGACGTGAAGGGGACCGGCTTGCGTGTGGGATGCTGGACAGATGCTGCCCCAGCCGGGGCTGGCCGGTCGGTGCTGGGCCTCACCGTGCTCGCCGTCTGCCTTCGCAGGTGTACGAGAGCGGCAGCAACGTGGACCAGTTCGTGACCCGCTTCCTGCTGAAGGAGACGGCGAACCAGACCCAGTCGCTGCTGAGCTCTGTGGAGAGTGCCGTGGATGCCATCGACGAGCAAACCAGCCCTGCCAGGTCTGCAGCACCTCCTGCCCTCCTCTGCTTCCCGGTTGATTTTGGCGCAGGAGGGTGGAGGGAGGAGTGGGGGATGCTTTTGCGGGGAGAGGGAAATTGCAGCAGACGGTGCACAAGAGCAAAGGGGAGCTGGGCAAGCAGCTGCCTTTCACTTTTCCTCCCTTTCCCGGCTTCTTGAGGGCTCTTGGGGCTTTCCTCTGCCACTCTGTCCTGCCCTGTCCCTTACTCCTGCAGCCCTAAGGGTCGTTCTTGACCCCTTCACTCACCAGTGGTGCAGGGGGGATGCAAACAAGGGAGCAGCACCCTGGGGCCGGGCTGGGGAGAGCTGGGGCTGCTGCTCCAAGCAAAGCCACGGGTTCCATCCAGGGCAAAACACGGGCACCAGCAGCAGGGTGGCTGTGTCTGGGCTGTGCTGGGGACAGACAGCCCATGGCACCAGCTTCCTCTGCCGGGAATCTGGGGACAGGTACCGCCATCCTTGGGTCCCATGTGAGGGGGCTGTCTCCATCCCAACAACCTGGCACGTGCTGCTGAGCTTGGAAAAGACAGAGGAGGCAGTTTCAAGAATTCTCAAGAGCTGCCAGGGCTAAAATATAAGGGGTACCCAGCAGCATAACCCAACCCTTAGCACAGCCCTCCTTGGTGTCACAGTGTCACTCGCCTCCCCGGAGTACAGCCATCACCGGCTGTAACCAGGCCAGGTTGCCACGGAAACCGTTCATCAGATGCTCATGAAGCAAATCCCTGTCCTGCCATACCTGCAAACCAGGAGGGCATGGGACGCTTGGGGAGGGGGGGGATGCCTTGGCTTCCCTGAGCCCCAGGTGGGCAGAGGGGCCCAAGGCACACGGACCACAGAGAGCGAAAATCCCAGCTCTCCTCTGGGACACCACAGGGGCTGACGTGCCCAAATGCTTCGTGCACCCAGGTCTTGGCAGTTTGGGGTTTCGCATCAGCAGCAGTGGCCTCCCGGAGAAGTGGCAGTGGGCTGGTCTCACAGGAGTTGTTGCTTCCTGGGGCACGGTGAGACCCTGGGCAGCTCTGGTGACATCTCACCAGCTTTCCTGGGAGGAAGGCTCTGCGTTTCATCACCCCACATTGCTTTCTTCTCCCCGTTTTGGAAGGAAACCGCTGGCCTGTGGCAAACCTTGTACAAAGCACATGGAAAAAAGTAAGAGCTCCTGGGAAAAAATGAGGAAGAAACAAGCCCAACATCAGACAGAGCAATTAGAGCCCATGAAAGACTTTGTTGGCTTTTATTTACCGACATGTGGGCCCAGTTTATAATGAGGGCTATTGTAGTTGTTTTCTCATGGTGATAATAACCAAAAAAAAAAAAAAACAAAACAAATAAACTCCAAAACAAGCACAAAAAATGATCTCATGCATCCACATGAAGACAAAGAGGTGGCATAAAAAGCACCAAAATAAAGAGCTGTAAAACGAAGTTTGAGAGCAGAGCATCCAAGCCTGAGACACCTCATTAAATCGTGATTAAAAAGAAATCTCTGTCTGTTCTCGCCTAATTTCCTGCCTATTGACGGGGGATTATTCAGCGCAGGCAGTGGGATTATTGCACAGCCTGTAGCGACGGGGATGTTCCTGCCACTTTTATCACTGTTCTTGCTTCTTTATCTTGGGGATGTTCTTTGGGACTAGATCTGCTTGTCATATTCCCAAGCGCCTGGTCAAGTCCGTACTGGCTGATTTTGGGGGACAACAGCAGCCCAGATATTTCTTCCTCAGCACCAAAGGCACCAGCCAAAATTGCCTGGGATTTCTGAGGAGGGTAGAGAGGGCACCTGGCTGCTGCGCTTCGGAGGGAGCCGGGTGCCTGGAGAGGGGCAGGAGGGCAGGGACAGTGCTGGCAATCGTGCCCATCGGCTCCCTGGCACTCAGCATGTTGCCTCCAGCCAGGAGCCACACGGCTGGCAAGAGATGCCAAAGAGGAGCTGGGGCTCCTGGACACCTCCATCAGCAGGGAGCCGGCACGGAGCTGCTCTTGCTGGAAGGAAATGCTGGAAACCCTTTGAGCAGCTCAGCCTCTCCCGCTGAGGCTCAGGCTTCCCATGGGTGGAGGGGGAAGGAAAGAGAGGGTCATCCTTCCCAAAACTCGTTCCCACCTCATCACACACAGATGGCAGCTGCAAACCCTTGTGGGGACGGCAGGTCTTAGCATCCTCACTGGCTTCCAAATGGATGGATGTTGCAGGATGAGCCAGACCAAATGGGCTTTGTAGCCTCAGAGGAGGAAGCAAGACAGAGGAGATGCTACAGTGGATGTCTTCATTCTCCAGGAGAACCGTGGCTGCAGCCTGTTGGGGGCGTGTATGGACAGGCAGAAAGGTTTTCCCTGCTCACGGGCAGCAATTCGGGTGTGGGCAGCCTGTGTGATGGCAACTTTTCCCATGTGTTAGTCAGCAAAGCCATCCGACCGCAAAACCAGCCCCGCTAAGGTGCAGCCAGCCAGCTGGGCACGGCTACCGGTGCCTGAGTGCCGGGTGTTGCTGGTGTCTATCTAGGGGAGAAAAAAATTCCCAAAGGCCGCAGGAGATGCCGGGAGGGCCGCTGCAGTGTTTCATAAACATGAAAGAAAAGCAGCGGCTGCTGGGAGCTGCCCACTGGTGTTTCTCTAATTTTGACCCGCTCCCCAAGCTGGGCGATGAGGAATGATGGTATGGGGGGGAAGCCTGCGCTGCTTGGGCACGGTGTGAGCCCTGCTGCTCTCCAAGGGGTCTGTTGTTGGTGGCAGGGCTGCCGAAAAGGATGCTCCGGTGTTGGCTCCCCGGGCACTGTACGTGCCCAGCTCTGCCCTCCCTGACAGCCTGTGTGCTCTCTGGTTGCAGGCACTACCCCAGCAAGGCTGGGCACGGTCTGATGGACACCTGGTACGACAGCCCCGTGCCCAGCTACTCGCCCACCAGCTGGATGGTCCCCAGGGAGCACGGGAAGAACTTCCAGACTGGTAAGTGATGGCCGCTGCCCAGCTGCACCGGCAGCCTGGGGTGGCTTGGGGTGCTCAGGGAAGGGAGCTGTGGTCCCGGCGGCAGCACGGAGGCAATGCTCAACTTCCCCGGAGAGCAGCGGGGGTCTCGGGGGGTGCCTCTCACTCCATCACTGCCTCCTGGCTCTGCGCAGGTTCCCCCGATACCAAGGCAGAGGGGCTGGAGGGGCAGATCAACAGGCTGGCCGAGCTGATCGGCAGGCTGGAGGACAAGGTAAGGGCCAGCGTTTCCATGCCCGGGGCTGTCCCTTGGGTGTCCCCGCAGCCCCTTCACCTCCCTGCCCTGGCTGGGACGGAGGTGACCAAGAAGTGGCTGTGCCCATCCCTGTGCCGCGGCATGCACAGGCCGTGGGTGGAAACTGGGCTGCTGGTGGTGTTGGAGCATATTCCATCTGATGAGCCGATGGCAGCTATTGAATGTGGAACAATTAACTGTGAGTTTGCTTAAGAAGGAAACAGAAGGATGAAGGCGATGTGTCTTGTGGAGGCAATCTTACTCCATCTAGGGACTGAAGGAGAAAATGATGCAGTGCAGGAGATGTTTCTGAAATCCTCCTGGTTTGCACTTTCAGGGCAGAAGGGGAGAGGGAAAAGGACGTGCTGTGCATGGGGGCAGAGAGGTGCTGTGAAGGTTGAGGGCAGAAAAATGTTGATCATGGTTGCCAGAGGAAATGAGTTCGCCCCGGGGATGGGAAGGAGCGAGTGGCACTGAGGAGGGGTGGGTACCCCTGCTCCTGCTGCCCAAGGGACAATTCAGGGACAGTGGTGACAGCTGTTTGGGGGCTGATGTGAGGACAGGGTGTGGTGTGGGGGATGTCAGCTGCGCCGGGAGCATGGGGAGCCTTTGCAGAAGGTCCTGATGGGAGGGCGCGAAGGTGCCAGCCCCTACAGAGAAGGGGGCAGAGCCCCTCATCCCAAGTGCTAGGGACAGAAATCCACCAGCCTGGGAGGGACACGCAGCCTCTGCCCACCCCTCCAACCCCACCCCATGTCCCCCCCCGCTGCCTTTCCCCCTTTTTCCCAGACTCTCTGGTTTGACCTGCACCAGCGGCTGTCGGACAGCGAGAGCGCAGCTTGCACGGTGAGCGTGCCTGGCCACCTCCCACGGGGTGCTGGGGTGTCCCTGCAACGTGGCATCGGACTTGGGTGGGGAGGGGTCACCGTGTTTTTTGGGTCTCACATGCCGTTGTGTTTCGGGGGGGGGGGCCCGGCAGTACCTCCTCCTGGTGCGGGATGAGATGACGGTGTCGCACAAGCACCTGGGCGAGTTTTGCAGCTCCTTGAAGCAGTACCTGAAGAGTGTGGCCGGGGAGCGGGACTGCTTCCAGTGGGTACCGCCAGCAGCTGTGCATCGGGGGGGCCAGGGTTCTTTTTGAGGGGGGGGGGGGGGGTGTGGTTGGGAGGGGACAGAGGGTGTCCAGCAGCCCTCACAAGGGTCACCACACCAAGTGAAGGGCTGAAGCAAACCAGCCAGGATTTGGGGTGTAGTGGTGCTCAGCCACCAAACCCCTTTAGCATGGGCTGGGGGAGTGCTGGGAGCAGGGGGGGGGGTCCCCCCCAAATGGGCTGCTGGGGCTGGGGTCACCCCCTTGGTAGCCCACCCTACGGCATGCCTGTGGCTGCAGGGGCCAAGGGGGGAGGGATGCCCCACGGGTTGGGGCTCAGCCCTCTCCCCGCTCCCGCCAGCGTCACCGCAGTGAAGCTGCCCGATGGGGTCACCTTCATCGTCTACGAGTTCTGGGAGACTGAGGAGGACTGGAAGAGGTAGGGGAGGGTGCGCAAAAATCTCAGGTTTGGGTGGGGTGCTTGGGTGCTCAGGGGTGTCAGAGCTGCTGAGTCCCAAGCTCTGTCCCCTGCCTGGGGAGAGGGGCGAGGATCTGGCTGTCTGCGCTGGGGCTGTCACTGTAAAGGGGACACGGAGTTTGGGAGGTCACTGTGCACCCCCCCTCCCTCCCCGGGGATGCCTCTGGACATGGAGGATGGGAGGTCTCACTGTCGTGAACCGTGGTAGGGTGCTTTGTCCAAGGGAAGGGTGAGGGGGGATTGCTGGCACCCAGGCCCTGCCAGAGCCGACAGGGTAGCGGGGGGGCCAGGATGGTGATTTTGAGGGGAGGGATGTCACCCACTTTCTCTTGCCCGGGTGCAGGCACCTGCAGAGTGCCACCTGCAAGGGCTTTCAGCACGTCAAGGTGGACACGCTGAGCCAGCCTGAGGCCGTTTCCAGCGTGGCCGTGCCAGGTAGGAGGGTGGCCACCCTGCGGGGTGGGGGACTGGGACCCCCCGGGTGGCCGGCACCGCTCCCACTGTCGGGGAGCAGGGGTGGGCAGCGGGCACGGAGTGGGGGGCAGCACAGGCTGGGCTGGGTGGGCTGGGGGGTGTCGGGGTGATGCGGGGCCGGGCAGGGGTGACCCTCCGGTGCCGTTCCCCTGCAGCTGCCTGGTGCACCCTGAGCCGAGAGTGACCGCTGGTGCCGGGGGGGCCCGCCAGCACCCGGCCCCGCTGCGGGGTGGCTGTGACCCCCCCCTATGTGGCTGGGGGGTGGGAGGTGTCAGTGTGACCTGTCTGCAGTGAAGGAAACCCCCGTGTGTGTCTCAGCACCCCATAGGGTCATTGTCTGTGTCCCGTCCCCCCCTTCTCCCTCACCCCATCACCTGGATCACCTCTCCCTGGAGTGGGGTGGTCTTTGGGGGGGTGGGGGGGGTGGGGGGGGGCCCCCCGGGGTCTGCCAGGAAGGGGCTGGCAGGGATTGGGGTGGGGACATCCCCCAGGCATGGGCAGGGAGTGGGGGAGGCAGGGTGCAGGCAGCCAGGCGATGGGGAGGGGGCAAGGCAGGGGTAGGGAGCCGCTGCGGGAGGCTGGAGGCCCCTTGAGGGGGTAAGTTGGGGGTCCCTGCTGGTCCCCAGGGGCACCCGGGGAGGGGGCTGGGTGTGGGGGGGGTGAGGCTGTGCCTGGCACAGTGTGTGTGTGTGCCTGCAGGGATGGGGACCCATGCTCCTGGGAGGGGGGGTGGGGGGGAGGAGGCGGGGGGAAGGTGTCAGAGGGGTAGCCAAGTGGGATATCCCTGCTCCTGGGCTGCCCCTTAGTCCCGTGGGCTGTGGGTGGGCCCGGGGGGGTTTCCTCTGCGTGTGTCTGGTGACAGCGGGTGCCTTGCAGGTGTGGGGGTGGCCGCCCCCGTCCTTTCTGGGGTCTGTCTGTCTGTCTGTCTGTGCGTGTGCAGCGCTCGCTGCCCATCCTGCCCCCACCCCACCGTTCCCGGGGGTCCCTCAGGGTTCGTGGCGCAGGACCCTCGCCGATACCCTGTCCCGCCTTTATTAGCCGCTGTACAACAGGGACGGAGATGCCAAATAAAACCGCGATGGGATCCAGCAGTGTAGCCGAGTCCGGGGCGGCTGCCCAGGCCGATGGGGCTGGGACGGGGGTGGGGGGACACAGGGAGGGGGGGGGATCATGGTGGGGGGCACGATGCGGGGGTGGTCCGCAGCCCCTCAGCGCAGCAGCCCCAGCACGGCCAGCGCAGCGCTCTGCCCGCAGACGAAGGTGCCACCGAGCACGGAGAGGACGCCCCAGGCGATGAGAGCAGCCCTGCGGGGACACGAGCAGGGGGTCGGTGGGGCAGAGCCCCCCTCACCCCCCGCCCCCAGCCCCATGCTGTAGGACCCTCTGCGGGGTCTCAGCCTCCTCTGCATCGCTCCTGGCGGGGAGCCCCCGGCAGCCCCTCCGGCTCATCCCCTGTGCCCACTGCAACAACACACAAAACCTGGTCAAAAGCCTGGCAGCTGCCACCACGAGTCCAGCCTCGGTTCTGCCCGCACCCGGTGGCCCTGCCCAGGGGGCACAGACCCACTTTGGCCCCCCATGCTTGGGCACAGCTGCTTCCATCCGCTCCCAGCCCCCCACCCTACTGCCACACGTCCCCCCACCCATCCTCTCCCCCGCTTTATCCCCATCCCCGCGACCTCTGGGGCTGCACCTCCCTGCCCCCCTCTCCCCGGGCACACAGCCCCCCCCTCCTCAGCCAGACACCGAGCCCCCAGGACATGGCACTCACCCCCAAACCCCGCTGCTCCTCCGTCGCAGGGTCACTGGCACCGTGCACCTTCCCGAACTGCCCCAGGCAGGCTGGGACTGTCCCTCGCTGTCCCCATTCCCCCGGCTTGTGTTGTCCCCTCTCCTTGTGCCGGCGCTCCTGGGCTCACGCCCTGGCAGGTCTCCCCAGGGGACCTCTCCAAGTCCTTGTTGCCCACCTGGGTGCCCCAGCTCACCTCCTGCCTTGGCTCCCCATCACTTCAGCACCCCTGGGGTCACCCTCCCACTCCTGCTGAGGCAGCCATTCCCCCCCACCCCCCACCCCCAGGCACCCACTTGGCCAAGATCCCAAGGTCCTGGCGTGCTCCCTCTGGCCACCATGGCGGGGACAAGACCCCCTCACATCACCTCCATCCTTACTCAGACTCTGCTCCTCCCCCAGGGGCACTGCAGACATGCACACACTTACCCCAAAACTCGCCAGAACCATGCCAGGTCCCCCCCCAACACGGGCTGCTGCTGCTGCTGCACCCCAGCTTCTCCAGCCAGGAGCAGTGATGGGGACGCAGCGCCCCGGCACAACAGACACCAAACACCTGATGGCTGCCAGCCTTGGGGCACTGTGCTTCTCTGACACCACTAGACCCCCACCCCAACCCCCAACAAGTACACCAGTGCCCCAAAACCCTGTGGCTCTCTTTCCCCTACAGCCTTTCTGCCTTGCAAGGGGGTCTGGAACCTGGGCACAACCCCATTCCCTGGGCACCCCCTTGGTACCTGGGTACCTCCCCAGTGCCTGGGCTCATCGCTGACACCCAGGCACAGCCCCAAATGTTGGAGCACTGCCCTCCATACCCACCGCAGACCCCACGTCCCACAGCAAGTGCTCCTGCTTTCAGTGCCTATAGGTACCCCTAATCCCCCTCCTTTTGGGGGGGTTCCCACCTTGGCCAGGGTGACCCCCAGGGACCCTGCCTGGGCCATGGGATGCTTGCCCACTGCCGCCGAGCCCGCAGACACTCACTTTTTGCGTGGCCCGAGGGTGCGGGTCCCGGTCATGCACACCAGGCACAGTCCTGCCACCAACACAGAGGCTCAGCCCCACCGCACCCCTCCACCCCACCCCACCGCGGCATCCCCCACAAGCACACCCCCTGCACCCCCAAACCAGGGCCAGGACGGGCCACTCACCACCACCATCCTCCCCAGCCCCCGTCCCCTTCAGCGATGCTTTCGGCACCGGAGATCCCTCCCCTCCCTCCCACTGCTCACTCTTGCCTGGGAAGATGAAGATGAAGAAGGCACTGATGCCGCCGATGAGCTCGATGACCTTGCCGATGTCCGGAACGAAGAGGGCGATGGCGAGCGTGGCAGCCATCCAGGCGACCGTCAGCACTACCCGGCTCCGCTGCTCGCGCACCTCGGGCACCGCCGCGGCCCCGCGCTTGGGGGTTGCCCAGAGGTCCCACACCACCGACCTGGGGACAGGGAGGGGAGTCGGGGCGGGGGGGGGGCTGACGGCACCCGGAGGAGCCACAGCAGCCGGGGTGGGGGTCACCCGGTTCACCACCGCACCCCCTCACCTGCCCAGCAGCACCACGATGGGGTAGATGGTGACGATGGAGACGCCAAAGAGCAGGCGGGCGACAATGACGACCGGGTCGTTCCCTGGGTAGGACATCAGGACGTCGGATGCCACGGCCTCGCCGAAGGTCAGGTAGCCATAGATCCCTGCCGAGGGGGAGGCGGGAGGGGGTGGATGTCCCAGGACAGGGGACCCCCAGGGCAAGGAGGGGGTGAAGGGCTCCGGTGCTGGGGTTACCGGTGAGGGAGTAGACGAGCAGGCAGATGAGCATGGAGAGCACGGAGACGGCGACCCAGTGGGAGAAGCTCTGGTTGCGCATGCTGCTGTAGATGGCCACGCAGGCCTCGTGGCACTGCAAGGCATGGGGGGGACGGAGCTGGGACCCCAGGCAGGGACAACCCCCCACCCCCAGCGCCTTCCCTCCCACCCGTGGCTGCTCTGTCCCACTCTCCCCCATCCCCAGTGGGGTGTGTCCACCGCTGGTGGCAGCCACGGGTCCCCTTCCCTGCAACCCTCCTGCCGCAAGGGATGGTGTCCCCATGGTCTGGGGAGGCTGCCAGCACCCCCCCAGCAGCGGGGGACAGTGGGGCCAGGGTGACCTACCTGGAAGCCAAAGCAGATGGTGGGGATGACGCTGAAGACAGAGGCCCAGGAGGTTTCCCTGTGGCATGGGGTGGGGGGGGGGGCGGGGAAGGAAGCACAGAGCAAAGGGCGTGAAGCCCCCCAGAGGCAGAGGGGACCTTGGTGGCATAAGCTGTGAAGCCTGGATGCCACCGCAGGAACATCCCGGGGGGAGGGGGGTTTCTAGGGCAAAAACTGGGGCTGGGGGGTTGTCACCCACTCACCGCCCTGCCAGCGCTGTCCCCCCGCCACCCAGGGCCACCCCCTGCCCTGTCTCCAGCCCTGCCCTGTGCCACTGCAGATGCCCCGGAGGATGGGGTGGGAAGGATGTGGGGATGACGTGCCCCCCACCCCCCCTACCTGGAGGGCTGGGGGGGCTCAGGCGAGCCCAGGCTCTCTGCATGCAGGTGGTATTTCAGGACGATGACCAGGGTGAGGTAGCAGGCAGCCAGCGTGCCCAGGATGCTGCCGGGCGTGGGAGAGCGTCAGCACGCAGACCCCCCAGCAGCCGGAAGGGAGGGGGGGGTCCCGTGGCCCCACAGGGACCCCCCGGGAGGAGGTGGCCTGGGGTACAGGGTGCCCAGGGGTGGGCCACTGCAGGGGTAGCCCAGGTGATACCTGGAGTACTTCTGGAAGCCGATTTCCCTGGGGACGGACAGTGGGAATATGACGAGGACGCAGAGAGTCGAGAGGGTGAAGCGCTGGTCCACATACCAGGGGGGTGGCGGGGGGGCCCCGGTCACCATCCCGTTGGGGTACAGGTAGTCACACACTGCAGAGGGCGAGGGGGAGGGTCAGCTGTGCCCCAAAAGGTGGCCCAAAGGAGTCGGGAGAATCACACCACGGCAGGGCCAGGGAGCCCCACGTCCTCGGGGATCCCAAGAAAACCCCGGGGCTGCCCCCAGCCCCGCCATGGGCCCACCTGCCCCTCACTCCCAGCCCTGAGCAAGCCCCGACCGCGCTGAGGGGAACCAACTCACGTTTCTCCAGCTGGTCGCCCACCACCCTGAGGAGGGCCACGGAGATCATGAAGAGGTTGAGGAGGAAGCAAACCTCGCACAGCTTCCCTGCCGCCGCCCCGCACACCGCCCGGACGACCCCCTGGTAGGTGAGCTGGCCGCTGAGGGCCGCCGCGTAGCCCAGCACCGCCAGCCCGCTCACCAGGAAAACCAGCGAGCCCTGTGGGGACGGGACCCAGCAAGAAGCACCACGCTGACCCTCTGCCACACCCCACACCCAGGGGGACCCAGAAGGGCTGTGGCCAGGGGACAGGTTGCCAGCCAAGTTGCTTTGTGGCCCCGAGTAACACAGGTCAGCAGAAGGATGGAGAAACAGCCCTAGTTTGGGTTTAGATTTGGGGGTTTTGGGGTATGGAGGGCACCAGCCACCGACTTCGTTTTAGGTTGAGCTAAAAGCGCGGCGTCAGGTGCAAAGGGCATCTCTAAGGCGGCGGGGGGTTTTGCACCCCTGCCCTTGCTGTTGTCCCTTCCAGCCTGGGTCGGGATGCAGGCGCTGCACCCCCTTGTGAAAGGGAGGGTCCCCGCCAGCCCCCCCCCCCCCCCCAGACACCAGGGCAGGTGAACCCCTCCCCTTCCCTTCACCCCGGCCGGCAGATGCCTCGGCTCCCTCTGGGGATGCCGCTTCCCGCAGCCCCACGCCCTCACCCCCCACCCCCGGATCGGGTCCCCCCCCCCCCCCCCCAAACCTTACCAGCTCCACCAGGAGGGCGGGGGCGGTGCCGCCGGCCCTGCTGAAGGCCCAGGGGAAGCTCAGCAGCCCGGCGCCCAGCGCCGACTTCAGCATGATGAACACGGCGCCGGCGGAGGAGAGCCCGGCGCTGCCCGCCGCCCGCAGCAGGGGCCGGGCCTCGCCCGCCGCCCGCTCCATCCCGGTGCCTCCCCGCCCGCCGGGGCTCTGGGCCGGGCCGGGCCGGGGGAGCAACCCCCCCCTCCGCGGGGGCGGGCGCGGATGAGCGCGGGGGCTCCGTGGACCCCCCCCCCTCCCCTCCTCCTGCCCCCGCGGGGAGTCAGGGGACGGGGCAGGGGGACGTCCCACCCGCGATCCCACCCCGGCTCGGGTATCGCTCCGAAGCCCCCCCGGGGGGGGTGGATGTTCATGCATCCCCCCTGGCTCGGACCCAGTGTCCCGCTGCCTGTGGGCATCGCCAAGCCTCAAAGAGCGACTACAGGACGCCAGGAAAACCAGCAGCCCCAGGACGGGGCTCAGGCTGGGGACACCCCGGCCCAGCTGTGTTCACCTCATCCATGAAATTCCCACCACGGGGAATTCTGGAGCATCCCAGGGAGGGGAGGGGGGTGGGATAGCGAGCGCCCTTCAGACCGTTTTGGCTGGTGGGTGCTTCACTCATTGGGTGCGGGATAAGGCCAGCACCCCTCGCTGTCTCCACAGCACCTAAAAGCCCACGGGGCTGCTCCTGCACTCGTGAGGCCTTAGCGAGGAGCCACCCCATCCCATCCCCTGCCCCACGCAGGGAAAAGGGGTCCCTGATGTTGCAGGGTGATCCGCACAGAGGAGGCTGCACCCCACGGGGACGAGGGGCCCACCCCGCACACGGGGTGGGGGGGACACACACACGGCAGCTCTGTGCCGCTCCCAGCACATGCCACTGCCCCGGGGCTCAGCACGCAGGACCCCGACAGCCCCTAATGCATTTTTGATTTCCCAAATATGCGCCCTTCTGATCTCGGTAAGACGGATAAAGAGACTTTAATCAGCTGCTAGGAGGAATTATGGATGGCTAATTGTGCCTGCCACCTCCATTACATCTCTGCCGCCTACGGGGCTTATAACCATTTAGAAGGGCCCTTCCAGGCCTTCATTAGCTGCACACCAAAGGCTTCAGAAATAATTGGCCTCTACGATTTAGAAATTGGCCACTGGGCTGTAAAATACCAGCCACTGGGAAAGGCTCTTAATTCGGACTGGCGCTTTGATACAGCTTGACTCTGGTTTCAAGGCTGGCTTGGAGCTGTCACCCCTCATTAGTGCTGCGATCAGAGGAGTGAGCCTCCTCATTAGCACCGACCCAAGCAGCAGCACCAAAGCTTTCCAGGCTCCCTCGGAGGGGAATGCTTCAAACCAAAGGGGCCCAGCCCACCTCCCACCCCTCACTCCTATTTTTTCCCCTTTTTTCCAATTACCGGGGTGCTCCAGCCCCTGGGCTATGACCTGAGGGTCCCTGTGGGTTGGCAGCTTTACCCACTGCTGCGTCCCCTCGGCAGCTGCCCTCCTCCCTTCTCTTTGATGGGAAAAGGGCTGCTGATATATTTTCTACATTGTACCTCTGTCGTAAAGATAATAAAGGTGCAAACAGACAGTCCTCATTTTGGACAAATGAAAACACCGACTACAATTACGCTTTGCTACCTGCAATCCTTTCTGAGGTCTAGCCCTTGAGATTTTACACCTTTACTGACAGCTCTTTTGCAACCAGTACAACTCGCAGAGCTGTTGCTGGTTGGTCCTAAGAGAGACCCTGATGCCACAGGTAAACTGGAAAATCCCCTCCCCATCAGCATGGGTGCATGCTCAGAGAGGGAGGAGCAAAGGGCATCTCTGGCCCCCAGCCCCATTGGGATGGCACACGCAGTCCAATCTCCTCAGCCCCGACAAGCTTCTGCTAATGGCTCCGAATTGAAAGCTTGGTCCCTCCTCTGGGTCTGCAATAGGATGCGGCCTCTTCCAGTTCATCCTCATCTTCGGAAGGGAAGAGGCAGGCTGAGAAATGCCAACCACTCTTGAGGTTAGGAAAAATGGGTTTTCCCAATCCTTTTTGCACTCGTGCACTGTGAAACCCTACCCATGGCCACCTCTTGGAAGGTTTGCCCCCTGGAGAAATGTTCTCTCCTGCAGTGCCCTTCCTAAGGCCCACCACCACCACCCACGAAGAGGGTGGGTGCAGTCAGGCCGCCCGTCCCCGGCACCTTCTCCTGCCCCAGCCGTGCCCAGGGCTGTGCAGGAGCCAACGAGCTGCCCAAGAGCTCCCCCGGGACCCTTCACCAGTACAGACCCCTTCCCTGCCCGGGCACCGCTTCCGTTCACCGACCCCAGCAGCCACCAGCTCCCTGCTCCTGCTGGGAAAAGGTGGGCTTAGTTGGAGCCGTGATCAGGGAAAACCTCGCAGCTTCGCTACAAAAGCCAGAAGCCATTTCCATGACGGCAGCGTTAACCGACACCGCATGGTCAGGGGCAACTTGTGCCCCTAACGAGTCACAGGCTCCCGAGGAGGACAAACCAAAGGCAACAGGGCTTTTGGCTTTGTGACACACCACACTATGCTGTTATCAAACCCACACGACGGTTTCTTATGCAGCTCATCACAGCCCTCTCCCCGTTCGCTCTTCTGCAGTTTCAAAGATGTTCACATCTCTGTGCTCACTCGGGATGAGCCCCCTTTGTACAACTGCCTGGTCAGGGCTCCAAAGGAAAGTCTGCAGCTTGGGATGCTGCTGTTCAGGATAAAGATACTGTGGGAAGAGGAGAGACATGAAAGCTTTCTCTACTTAACAACTTGGTATCTACAACTGTAGAAAGAAAAGCCAGACAGTCCATTGTCTTAGCTTCATATAGATAACATATTTATTGAAAATCTGCTTCACCAACAACGGTGAAATCATGACCAAAAATTACAAAACATCACGGTAGTTGGCTTTATAAAAATAAACTGCAGGAGTATGTCTCACCAATTTGTACTAGGCCCTCTTGCCCGCTCCCTCCTTCAATGGTGCATGTTATACTCTCCAGCATAACACCGTTCTAGAAAATTGCATTCCATCCAAAAAAAATGCACTTGTTTTTCCTTAGCAGAGGTCCTTAAAGTGACTTTTCCCCCCACCCTCCCCAACAATAAATATAGAAAATAGCCTCTAAACAAATAAATTTTAGTTTGGTCAGCTTAAAAAAAAGGTCCATTTTTCTTCCCTTGGGATATGTAGTGACTAAGCAGCCATTTAAACAGTGTTCAAGTCTTTGGTGGCTTCGGCTGCTTAAAGCTGCAGTTTTATGTACAGACAATCAGCTGAGGTCCTTTTTTTTATTATTTCTCTCCAGAAACCAAAGACTATGAGATGATGTCAGGTGCGAATTACTAGCACGGTCAGTGCTGCATTTGTGGCACCTTCACTGGGAGTGATCGATCACCCAGGAAAGCGACCGGTAAAAGGAGGTCATCTTTGGCAAGCGAGAGCTTTCACACAGAAGGCGTCTTTGGTGGATGAACCTGTTGCATAAGCTGCGGTCGTTTCACTCGTGGTTTCCGTCTCTTTGGCCTGCTCTTCGCTTTGTTGATCTGCACCACAAAGAACGCCAGAACCACCATGGCACCAAGAAAAGCAAAGACCGGAATAGTCTGTCCTACGTCCTGGTTGTACCGGCCAGGCATTATACCTAGAAAGGCAAAGAGGTCTGGAAGCAACTAGTGACCCATGAGCTACGACACCTTTGCAGCGTTAGCGCTATCTACCAAAGTGATCCAACAGTAACTCTTGTTCAAAGACAAAACAGTTATTAATCAGATTACTTTTCAGACAGGAAGATTAACAACTGCAGACTGATTAGCGAAAATAAGACAGGATGCTAACGTTACAGAAAAGCACCAGACTTCCCACCTTGACCTATGCAGGCACGTGAAAGTATAACCCAGATTTCCCCTGCAACAACAACCTTCTGTTCTGCATTAGAAGAAAGATGAAAATGCTTGACCATAACTTTACCACTAAGTAATTCCTAGAAATCACACCAAATCCTGATGCCACGAGGAAACAGATTTTGTGCTTGCTCCAGAGACCACGCACACACACGGGGAGGATGAGCTATTGAACCAAACCCTTCATTTTTACAGGCATCTTTTGGTCTACCAGCTCAGACTGGGCAAGAGGACATGGGAGACTTTCAAACTACTTCCAGCTGGGCCTGCAGGGCCAAGTTTGTACAGGAGAGCAGCCCACCACTGCAGCAAAAGCTGTTACAAGTGCTCTGCATCATTTCTTAGTGTAACACCTTGCCCAAGACAAACTCTTCAGACAAACTCTTCTGAACTCTGCTTTTGTATACTCACACAAGGAATTTTAATAACAGGAGGTATCTAGCCACAGCTCCCAAGGACAGTCACTGCAGCTGACACCCATCGGTCTGAACAGCACCAAAACAGACCTCAACTACCCAAAAAACACCCTCCAAAATCTTCTTCCCAGTATGTCACACATGCTTTCTCCTGATTAAACTGTTCATATGCAAAAATATTTCTCTCACACTTCATCAGTCAGCCTTTTACAACACAGTCATACTATTATTTGCACATTTTTCACAACTGAAAATGGACAGTTGCCTCTTCTCTGGCTGCCACTGTGTTTGGTCTTTTTTCAAAGCTTCTACAAAAAGCAAAGCAAAACAGCAACTTTCAAACTTTTCAGTATTTACCTCCAGGAATGTCCCATGCTCCACTTTCTCCAGGGGACAATGGTCTCACTTGGGGTCGGTTCTGGCGAAAACTGGGCAGAGCCACTTTATCAAGGTCAATCGACAGTAACTTTTGATGTTTCCAAAGGTTGCTAAAAGAAATTTAAAGACAGGGGTTTCTGCCCACTTTCTTCAGAAATGCAAGGAATTTTGTAGAAACATATAAAGTGACAGTTGGGACCTAGAAATAACTCACTAGTTTGGACCTAAATGATAAACGGATTTATTCGTTAAGTTCTGCAGTTTGCAGGCCTCCAAAGTTAAATTCAGACACCACAGGAACACACTTAGATTGGCTACTCTTTTTCTTGCACACAGACTACCAAAGGTAACCATTAGCAGCTCAGTAAACAAGCATGGGCTATTTGCTGACACATCTTCCTTCAAGTGACTGACAAATAATACAACAGAAG